AGGTATAGATTATAAGTTTGACTAGAAATAAGAAAGGTACGTCGGGTGATACGAGAGATTATTGGATTATGCAAAGTGTATGTTTTAATCGTCTATGATGAAGATTAAGGTGAGAAGGTCACCTGAGAATATGAATAGGATATGTGTAAACATTATCTTCACCTATAAATGCAGTGAAAATTCGAGGATGAATTTTCTTAAAGAATGGGACATTTGTAACATCCCAAACAGGGCTTGTGGCTAAATTATAAATTTGAAAAACTATGTGCTTGATTTCGAAACAAGTTAAAAATTTAAGGACTTAATTGAGAATTTTATTCAAGAGGATTGATTGGTAAATATGAAAAGATTAAAGGGGCAAAATGGTTATTTGACCACCAAGATAATTTTTTATGGGATATATATGTTACACGTGGGGTGAGTATAAGGGAAAAAGAGGAGTTCCAGAATTCTCTTCATCTTCTTCTTTCTTCCAAACGTGGAACCAAGCTTGATAAGGTGAGTTCTTTGGTTAGTTAATTATTCCTTGAATTCAAGTTGGGTTTATGATTATTGAGAGCTAATTAAGCCTAAGGAAGGCTTAAGTTAGCTTCAAAACAAAGAATGAAACAGTTAGGAGAGATTAAGATTAAGGAGTTTTTAAATGAAATTTTGAAGAAGAGTTGATAAGTTAAATTGGAGGCTAAATTTGACTTGTCAATGGTTAAATTAAGAGATATGGAGTGATAGAAGTAAATTCAGAACAAGTGGGTAAATTTGTATAATTCTTGAAATCCATGTAGATTGTAGGATTTTGATATTAGAGATGTGAGAAATGGGTATTAATGAGTTTGAGCATGTGCATGTGAATTAGGAATATGAAAGGAGATGAAATATAAAGTATTTGAGTGGAAATGAAGTGATTTTCGGGCTTAAAATTGATTTCTGGACAAGGGTGTATCGGTACCCATTCAACAGGAACCGATACCTCAAGAGTAAAATCTAGGAAGACGTTTAAAGGGTATCGATACCTTAAAGAGTGTATTGATACCCCCTTGAAATGGAAATTATCGAATATAATTTGGGTATCGATACCTAGGGTATGTATCGATACACCAGTTAAGGGATGTATCAATACCCTATAGAGTGTACCGATACCTACTTTAGATAGAAAATGAATTCCGTCTTTTCTTTAGTTTAAGAAATGAAAGATTTGAGTATGCCAAGAGGAATACTGATATGTATAATGTATGATTATGTAGATATCAATCGAAAGCAAGTCCATATCAGTCGACAAGTATTGGGCATCGAAGAAAAGATAAGAGAACGATATTGACTAGTGAGGACAGGTGAGTGCACATTATTTAGTATATGATGTTTAATGGGAAATAAGACTTGCGAGAAGTCTATTTCCAATAGTAAAATGCATGAATTCATAGATATAAGTATGTGTTGTTATGACTTATATGTGTGCATGAGTATATGTGATGACATGTTATTATGTAAGTTATTTGTATAAATACATGTTAGTGTGATAAATCATGTAAACAGTACAAATGATCTATATGATCATATAAGAATATGAAATAAGTTATATGATAAAGACATTAGGAGCTGTATGAACATATGATAGGTGAACATACATGTTACATAATATATGTGATCAATTACAGGAATCGATATAAGAGAATTATATGACTAAATGAGAAGTGAGATGAGTTAAATAAGATTATACTATAGAGTAATATGAGAATAGTATATTAGTGAGGAGACTTGAGTATAAATGATGATATCAAACTATAAGATAAGAGATATAAGAAAGATTTATATGTATGTGTGATAATATGAAAAACTGAACTAAGTACAATGATATTGAACCCTATGAGTATAAATATATGTGATATGTGACATATGAATGTGAAATCATATGAAAATATGTAATGAGCTTACATGATCACAAGACATGAGATATATGAAAGAGAAAGTATATGTGATACGTGAAAGTGAATCATATGTCTATATGAATATGGGAAATGATATGAAAGAGAATGCTCATGTTATGTGAAATGAGATCTAGAGGTATAGTTGACATGCCAAGAGTCGAGGGTTACCTATGTCTTTCGAGACATATGGACAATTTACCTATATCTTTCGGGATATATGGACAGGATTACCTATGTCCTTTGGGACATATGGACAGTTACATATGTTCTTCGGAACATATGGATAGGTCCTTCGGGACACATGCATAGTTCCTTCAGGACATATTTCACATGCCACTCAGTGGGGTGACAGCATATGCGCATAACCTCAATGTACTCGCATATCTTTAGTTCTCATATGTGTACATGGGCTAATAAAGAGATAACCCTGAATACAATGTATGTAATATATATGATGTGTGATATGAATTGTATGAAATGATATATGTGTGTTATGAGTTATTGCATCTGTTATAAAAATGAGTTATAAGATAAATGATATGAACATAAGAGACTATACGAACAAGAGATAAGAAATATGAATGATAATAGTGTATGACTATGATAGAAACATAAATGATGACATGTATGTATGTATGTATTTGTTACATGAAAAGTATATGAGTTGCACGATTATGATAGCATAAAATAGTCATGCATGGTTAGTGAATATAAATTACATTAGATGTGTTTTTATGCCTCACTAAGTCCTAGACTTAGCGTGTGATTATTTCACACGTAGGTTCTGAAAATCGAGAAGAGAAGCTAAAAGGAGCGAGACAGGTCAGCCACTCCTTTATGAAGTTCAGATCAGAAAAGAATATTAATCAAGTGTACCTTGTTATATTTAGCTGGCATGTACTAAGAGAATTGTATTGAATATGCTCTGATAGGTTTTGTAAAATAAAATGTTTTAATTAATGAAAATTGTTTATCTTCCTGAATTATGGATTTAAACTTTTACCAATTTGTAAAGAAAACTTTTTGAAAAGTCAATGTGACACATCGGACTCAGATCCGGGTCGGATACGGGTTGAGGGTGTTACACTAAATCCCCTTCAGTATCGATATTGACCCCTTAGTATTAGTACCCACCCTTGGTATCGATACCAAATCAAGCTACTGAAATTTAAAAAAGCCTTACAATATCGATACCTATATGTGGAGTATCAATACTTCTTCTTTAATCGATATTGATACTCCTCGAGTACTGATACCAATTTTGGCTATTGAAATTTATAATTCAACGATGGTGTTGATATCTCATCTTTAGGTATCAACACCTGACAAACATTATTGATACTCTATAAATAGAGTATCGATACTACCCAACCAAAAATCTTGATGTTACTCTATGATGAGCACATTATTATTATTGAGCTAAATGTCTCATAACCTTATTAAACTCGAATGTAACTCAAACTTTTACTCGTATGAGTTATTTCATTCACTTAGACCCTTAAGGGTAATTTGGTAATTTTAGCCCCTAAGGGCATTTTAGTAATCTCCCACACTCAAGGTAAATGCACGATCTCAATCGATATTAAACCCCTCACTCCCGCATCTATTTGGCATCTTTAAGTTACTCAATCACTTTAGATATTGATACCAAATTTCGGTATGGATGTCAACCCTCCGGTATGGATACCAGTCCACCGATATCGATACCAAGCATCTGATATCGATACCGAGCTTCCAGTATCGATACTACAACCTTCAGTATCGATACTAAGAGACCCATACTGATACCAGTTCATCCAGTATCGATATCAACATTCAGAAAACTTAGTTTTCACCCAGAATATGACTAATACCAATTCTTCCAAAATTGATATCATTACCAGAAACACAATGTTTTGCTCGGGAACCACCCCAAACTCATCTGAAACACTTGTTTTAAGGTCTAAGTTTATTATTAAATATTATAAAAGTCATTAGGGGTAATTATACATCATTTTTACACCAATTTAACACTAGAAACGTCCATATCAACAAATCAAGAACCCAAACCCTCATATGCTCTTCCACCCCTTACAAACATGCAAACTCATGTATATGACATACAAGTAGTAAAGAAGTTATAGTGTGTTATCTCAACTCCTAGATACCCAAATACCTTTCTAGATCCTCCAAGAACCAACCTTTTCAATTTTTTTCTCTTTAGGGGTTCTTGCACCACTCTTCCACCACCCAAAAGCCACCAAACAATTCCAACATAAAAATGAAGGACACCAGGTGTTAGACAATAACTATAACACATAAAAATCGGATAGAAACTATAAGAGGAGCCTTTGGAGCTCAAAACCTCACGAGAGCTCAAGAACACCATTTATAGAGATGATGAGTTTTTCATGAAGCTCAAAAACTCTAGATTAAAAATCTTATTTCTAGATTTTCAGACTGGAGAATGAGACAAAGAAAGGTGCAAGCTTTTATATTTTTCTAGCTTGAAAGAAGAAGAAAGAATGAAGAGAAAAGATGAAAGGAAAAGTGTTCAGGGAAGAGAAAGAGAAAAGTGGTATGGTCAAGCTCCCCTAACTCACATGAAAATTAACTAGAAATCCTCTTAAATCAGTCATGTTTTTTCATTAAATCAACCATATTTTTTTCTTAATTAATAAATTACATTCTTGGTCCTTCTACTTCCATCCTTGGTCCTTCTACTTCCATCCTAACCTTAAAAATCCCTTTTTATCTTTTATAAGGTTAATTTATTATCATACTAAACTCAATTTCGAACTAATGAACCTCCATGCTATAACAAATCTATTAAATAAATCCTTGACTCAACACGAAACTACTAGACCGATATTTGAGGTGCTACAATTGGAGTCAAAGGATCATACATGCATGCCATTGTCATTATCTGCTAGATATTATGACATGAATACACGGAGTTTAAAAGAATAAAATCCCAATGGACATAAAGGAAAAAAGAACATTATCCAAAGATAAACAATTGGTTCATCCAAATTTTCATTAGCTGAAATGTACAAACCGTCTATATATGATCAATAAGATCCAAATAAATAGAAAAGAAATGGCGGAGGGCTTCATGGTATTTGCTTGCCAGATTGTTTCTGGCATGGTGAACATCGTGACTTCACGGCAGACAAAATTGGGAAAATGTCCATTCAGTTTCCGCAATAAAAACTGGCCAAAGATGCCATCCATGCAGTCCTTTTTGCGAGCAACAGTCATTTTTAATAGTCGGTATGAAGGAATCTCTCGTATTTTGTCCCGCTTAGTGTCTTGTTGACATCGTCCCAGTTGTTCACCGAATCAGATAACGGACCTTTGTGTATCTTAACCTGGCCACTAGTTAATTCCATCTGTGGAAGGCCTAGGAACTCTTGAACATCTTTGAGTTTCTGGTACAAACAGGCGAAAAAACGAAAGGGATTGCGGGTTAGAAGATGATTATTCTTGGACATCCACAAAACGTTGCTTCACGGTCGAGAAATATTATTAACATTTCATGAAAGTTAATTACCGACCATACGGTACGGTTTGCGACGAGATCCTCATAATGCAAAACCATCAAGAAATGCTATAAATATTTTGTGGAAATTAGTTGCCAGCCTTACCGTATGGTTTGTGACAAGATCCTCGTAGTACAAAACCATGTGATGGGTACTATCGAAGTACTCTAAAGCCCTAACAACGGCCGTTTCTGCTTCTTTAAGATCCATCATTAATGATGTAGAATTGATCATCGGCTTGTAACTCGAAAGTGCGGCAGCCTAAATTAAGTGATCAGAAATAAGTTCAAATGTAGGGGCAGAAAAAACGGATAAAAAGAGTAAATAGGGCGAGTCAGTAACAGAAGGCATAGAGTGCAGGGTAGGAAGAGAGACCTCTTGCTCTGAATGAACATGAGACTTGTGGGTTCCATTTAATAGCTTTGCATATCGATCATACGAATTCGCGAGTACTGAAACCATCCTCCGAAGCAAATTTCTTCGGAAGAGAAATATAGCAGAAACACCCCGATGATTGAAGTATTCTACTATTTCTCGATGGTGCTCTATCAATCCCTGCAGGAAAAATACATCAACAATTGGATCGTAAAATGCAAAGGATTTCCTTCCATCACATAGGATTGCCACCGTATTGATTACGGTATTCTGTTGCATGGTTGATATCTAGAACACGTCTAGTTTCCTTTGCTAAACCAGATATAGATTAAACATACAGGAAGATAACTAAACTCCCTTATGTGAATAAATAATCGTGCTAAAACAGAATAGATCGACAACTCAGGTTCGTTCTCATACAGTTCCGACAACTCGATAACAAGCCATCACATTTCTCAATAAGATCACAAGGTCAAGACTATATAAAAAACTAAGCTGTTTACCTGATTTAGCATCCACTTGAAGCCAACAGCGGCCGAGCATTCATTCTTCGAAGCACTAGTGAACCAATCTAAATTGTAAACTTTCTCCAAAGTTTGTATAACAGTGGACACATTTTTCCTCCTATCAATTACCGAGAATATCTCACCATTGGAGCTTACATTGATATGGCTATTTAGCAAAGTCTCAAACCATCCACTTCCGGACCTTTGCATTGATAATATCGCAAAGAACCGGACCGGATTCGAACCACATTCACCCCTGGGAAAGCATCAATAGCAAATTTGATTAAACTCAAAACCGAAAACAAAACCAAAAAGGAATCAAACTGTTGTTGCTTGCCTGCTAAAACTTTCTGGGTTTGGGTAATGCAACGTGGGAATTTGACCTTCCAAGGGTGGCTTCTCAATGACTTGGATGCCATGAAACCCGAGCTTAGTGAAATTACCGACATGTTTTAAACATGCTCCATAGATATAAACACCGCACATCATTGCAAACCATAAAGCTATTGTCCTTGAAAACAATGGAGATTTCTTAAGAGGTTTTATAATCAGAGTGTCCTGGGAAAGAAAAACAAAGTTAAAACAGCAGCCAATACAAACAGGTCAAACCCAGAAAATACTAAACTGAAATATTAATTGTTTGAATAAAACAGCAAGAAATATCCAACATTTTCTTCAAAAAGTTATGAGCTTTAACACAAACCGACACATTCCAGAGCCATTGAAAAAATTGAGTCTTTTTTAGGCATTTACTACAAAAGAACCTCATTTCCTTCTGTACAACAAAGAAGAATAAGAACCCAGAATGAAAATGAAGTGAAAATAGAAGGGCACCTTGTTAAGTAAACAGATATACTCGGCCATTAATGTATTATCTTCCACAGAAGCTGAAGCGAACCCAGAAAAAAAGAAGACGAAAGGGAGAATATCTATTTTGGTTTTCCTTTGAATTCTCTACCAAAACAAGTAAACCACCCCAAGGAAGCAAATCTTTGTGTAGCTTCCTTTTCTTCTTTCTTTTATCTCGCGGAAATCAATGAAATGAAAGTGAAACAGCTGTTTTATTTTCTTTCTTTCTTATTTTCTTTGTTCTACTGACAAGTACAGATATGTTTACCAATGAGCAAAGCACGAAGCTCGAATCAAACATGTGGAAGCTTCTTATCTTCCTTGACTTTGAGAGTCTTGGACTTTGGTTTTTCATTTTTTTAATGTTAATTATTAAAACATAAGTTTTGCTTTTGTTTTAAGCATTTTAATTAATTTATAAATAATCAAATTGAAGCGAGGGTTAATGAGCTTGTAATCCAAGCTTTGAATACTTTAGTTTATCCAAATCGATTTGAAATATAAATTTAAAACTCAACTTACTTATGGCATTCAAATTTCTGAAGCTAAATGTTACAATATTTAGTTTTTTTATTTAAGACATGTGAGATTTGAATCCTCAATGATATTCCCTCCATTAATTCATGTTCAATCGATCACATGATAACAATGAAAAACTGACTATACATGCTGCATCATATGATTACTAGTGTTAATAGATGACCAAAAAGGAACTAAAGCGGTTGAGCAGCTTACAAAGGCCATACCTTTTTCAAGCCTGACAAGCAAATACTTCATTATATGATTATTAGGACCGTGCCATACAATGAACAAACTATGCACAGAAACAGTCCATCTACGACAGCTTTACTATTACATAGGGATTCAATTATTAATGAAAAACTAATTATTTTTGTGAATTTTAATATTGTTAAATATACTAATATTCACATTTAGATATTCTGATTATTTTCCACAACAAAATTAAAACAAATACAAATGTTAACGTTCTCATCTCCATTATCCACTTCTAAAATAACAAATTCAAATATCCGAATGTCTAATTTACTTTTTACTTTTTAGAATTTATTTGAATATCTTAAAGATAATTTTAGTTAAATCAGAAAATAATTCTTGAATTCAATGCAAATTAAGATTTTAAAAGAATTATGAGAATTCGAAATTTTCAAACTCGCTGCGATCCTACACAAGACATTCGCCCAAACAAATCCAACAAGATATTGGTTTAAATTACTCAACATAATTGAGAATAGCATGATTTAAAAGTAATGGCCAAACACTCAATCCTAGTATATATCTGCAGCTATCAATCCAACCCTCCAGCTGTAAGTCGAACCTCTAATATCCACGATAAGAAGTTCTCTTCATCATCCTCGTGAACTCTTCAATACCTACCTCTCCATCATCTGCATTCACCAATTGAACATTGATTAACATGTTTGCTTCAGGAAAGATGAGGGTTTCACAGGTTTATGTAAAGAAAAAGCAGGGCTGCCATTAGTTCAAGTACAATTGCCCCAGTCAACTGGGTTAATGACTAAACTGACTAACACCAAAGAATTTTGGTCGAATCGTTTTGGTTTAGTCAGTTTTGGTCGTGTTTGGTTTACAAGTTTAGTTTGGTTCAGGGTTAGGTCGGTGTTAAAAAGTAATTCAAATGACATCGAAGGAGTATTAACATCTGGAACAAAATGTCAAGACAATCATGAAGAACTGTATCAAGATTGAAGCAGAAGGGTTAGCTTACGATCTCGGTCTCCTTCTTCAATCATGTCTTGAATATCCTTATCAGAGAAGTGTTCACCAAGCTCCTTTGCAATGCGTTTAGCATCTTCCGCAGATATCTTCCCCTGAATTCAAATGAAGGAAGATCAATCTTTCCACAAAAAGAACAAACAACATTCAATCTAAACAAACAGATCTTACATTGTTATCATGATCAATGACTCGGAATGCTTACATAAGCTCTTCTTTAGTGTCCCTCTCGCCGATCTTGGCAGTAATCATGTGAACAAATTCATCAAAATCAATGGCACCACTGCCATCCTTGTCAACGTCCACAATCATTTGGTTGATTTGCTGTTGTGAAAAAGCATATCAGAACATAAGGATCCCAAGAAAAACAATTTATTATGCTAACCATTACATCATTTTTTTAAAAGTAAACATAGGACATCAAACATTCAACCAGCATTTTCCAATACAGAACTTACCTCTTCTGTCATTTCAAAACCGAGAGCCCTGTAGCACTAAAACTTTGAGTTCCAATGTGTTGATATGAATTAAAAACACCGTTTACAGACACGAAACATCGCACACAAATATTCATACCTCATGGCAACATTCAGCTCTTTGGCATCAATGGTACCTGGCCAGCAAATTCAAACCTATGCTTTAGTAAAAACACCAAATACATGTCTCATATATACCACCTGTATTAAGCGAGTGATCCCGTACCTGATCCATCGGTGTCAAAAAGTTCAAAAGCTTCCTTAATCTCCTGCCTCTTCTGTTGGCTTAATCCATGGTGTCTTGTCTTCCCTTATGCTTGTCTTTCCTTGATGGTCCTCTGTAAAGACTAGCCTGATCAAGCATTTATTAAAGACATAATCAAGGCCAATTCTAGTTCGAAATAAATTTTACAACATCACCCTCTTACTCATATTCGTGTCAGATGCTATTACTTCAAGCAAAATGAAGATCCGGATCAAGAGATACGTAGACATTTACAAATTCAGCGAGACAAACAACCAAACACAGAAAATATCATGCACTACAGGAAACTGTAAAAGTTAAAGGATTCTTAAAAAATTAAAGGGTTTCATCTATAATTGCTTCAATTTCCAGAGACATTGCTGAAAAGGCTTTTATTTCCAGTTTCTACTTATGCACCGCATATCTCATCCATTTTATTTTTATTATGAACCCAAAATTTCACAATTAATCCCAGATCAAATCTAACAAACAATAAGAATAAAACTAAACGGAGAATACTTTCCAATATAAAGCAAAGAGGAGCACGAAGATCCAGAAGAACATCAGAACCCTAATCTTTAACAATAGTAAAGAATACGAAGAACAGAGAGAAGTATAATTATTGAATAGAAAAAAGAAAACTGAACCTTAGAGATTAATGCGAAAAACATACCATTGTTCACTGAGATGAGATCGGAAACAAGCTAAAGAAAATTCCCCAAAAGTTCAAAAGGAAACCAATTGAAAAGACTTGTTGAAGCTTGTTAACTCTAGAAAATGAAACCTTACGCGGTTGTTTGATCTTTTGTTGACTCTACCATAACTTCGTGGATAGGCCCACTCTTAAGCTCATAATGGGCTTAATTGGGCCTTTTCTGGCCTATCATCAACTAGATTTTTGTTGTTTTGCATTGGGTTAATATATTATTCAATGTGAATATTAAGTGCAATATAATATTTTATTAGATTTTATCTATTTACAAATTTATTTAATTTTGATATAATAATAATAAAAAAAAGAAGCCATGTAAAATCCTTGTTGTAGTAAGAATGATCTCATGCACTATGACATGCAAAAAGAACATTGATGACGGATCTTTTGTCAAGAACATGTGTTCAATGATTGTGTATTTTATCCTTTGTAACAGATGTTTCAGCATATCAATGTCTCAGTATGGAACAAAGTTGTAAAAAATTTATGAAAATGTATACATTTTTAAGTTTGTTAACAATGATTCTCTTTGTATCTGTAAGATGACGAAGATAGAGAAAAAAAAATAGGATGTAAATGAGAACGGAAATAAAGGATTGTTAAAAAAAAAAGATAAATTTTGTTAAAGGGATTTAAAACATGATTCACTAATGAGATACAAGGATTGATAAATAAAAAGGTAGATAGGGATGAAGAGAAATGAGGGAGTTTGAGAGTGCATGACTATGTTTCTAGATTAAAATAAGATGGTCCGAAGGTCGATGCTTGACAATGAAGGTGGCGAAACTTTCACGGCGGCAGAAGAAGATGATTGTGGTAAAACAAACAAGATGATTAAGTGATCCCATATGACTACAATTTGTAAGTCAATCGATCAATTCGATAGATTAATGTTGTCACCAGCAATAACAATTGTTAGCATCTAATGACCGTTTTTTATAAATTAATAATATGATTGATTAAATTATTAATTTTAAAATATCGATGAAAAGAAAATAAATTTACTTAAACATAAATAAACACCTAATATGAAATACGTTCAATCTCAATTACTTTTAAAAAAATTTATAATTAAATTGTTTTTTTATTAATTCATAACATCAACTCAATAAATTAAAAGATGAACCTAAACTAAAATCAATAATTATAAAACAAAAATCAGCATTGTAATATTCAAAGGAACCATTTTACAAAAGGGTAGGTTTCCAATATTCTAAATAGGAGAAAAAGAAAGCAAAGATCCATTTTGCCTTTGATCTTTGCCTCCCACAATTGCTGACTAAATTGACCCACCTAATTTATTATACAAATCAAAATAAAAAAATCTATCTTTATTTTACGTTTTATAACAATTACTGTATTCTTACAAAATAAAATCACGAAGGCTTCCTGCTTGGGTGTCCAACTTTGATTGTTCAGTTCCTAACCTTGCCCCTCTCCATCATCAAAGGCACGTGGCGAAAATATACGGTCTTCATTTCTTTAGCATGTGGTCCCCCGTACAATATTTTCTCCTCGCGGGCCCTCTTTTTTCCCGCGCTTCTCAACCAAACCCCAAACAGTTTCAAACTTCCGTTGCCATCTTCACTAGCTTTTTCATCATCATCATCATTACCGTGATCGTCGAGGTCATCGACACCATAGCTACGGCCAGGATCTTTTCCGTCTAGGTTGGAGCCGCGCCTTACTTGCCGCATGATACGATTGATCATATCGGGCTCCACCTTCACGCATTGAGTTAAAAACCCGACCAACTCGTCGCATTTCTTCTTCGCCTGGGCCAACTCAATGCTTAACATCTCGTTATCTTTTTTCAGTTTCTCGTTCTCGTCTGATAAATCGGAGAATTGATTCATTTCTTCCGGCGTCATCTCCACCGATCCCGGATTCTTCGAGTCATGCGACGACGTGGAGGTCGATCCTAGGTCCTCTCCAGAGTTAGTCGGAGAGAGAATTCCAGCACCGGATGATTTCCCGTTCGCCGGCGACGATGTAACCATCTTGCGACGACGGATTTTGGACAAGAGCTCGTTTTGTCCTCGCTTAAAGTTCTCGTTCGCGAATTCCCATTTGTCCGGAACAACTTTTCGAAATCCCTATAAGAAAACGGTAAACATTTCATTGAAAATTTACCGCCCAGTAAACTGTGAAAGAAGTTTCATTACTGAAAAGACGGTCATATCCCTCACCTAAAATTAATTATAATATGTAGAACTTTGTTTTAAAGATAAAAAAAACTCTTGAAATTTGAGTAGTTGATAGGTTAATTAATCTTTTTAATTAGCTCACCAATCCCCCATCAATTATCATAATCCCAACCTTTGAGTTCTATTATTCAACTTATTGATCCCTTTTTATTATAAAATAATTGATAGTTTTCTAAAACTACTCAATAATTTCATCATTTCAATAAAAAAAGTAGCAAGTATTTAATTCTTAAACAAATCTATGAATATCTATTAACGGAAGATTATACTTATTTTTATAATTAATGCAACTAATCCATATTTACATCTAAAATAGAAAAAAATATTTTTACTAAAATTCTAATATATGAAATAACATAGTAACATAAAAACTAAATGTTAAAACAATTAATTCAGTAAACTAATGATCACTTACGTAAGTGTTGAGCTGACGGATGAAGCTAGAAAAGTTGTTGTGCTTGAAGCAGGTGGGAAGCAAATCCTTTGCAAAATCAGCTGTCTTCCAAACGACAAAAGAGGAGCCGTTTTCGCTCCACGAAACCACATCGTCTGTGATCGGATCATCCACCAGCTGATACGTCTTCGTCAAGAACGGCGCCGGAACTGACCTTTGCGCCATTTTCTTGTTCCCCTCCGATCAATCAAACCCTTCACCCCCAGAATACGTAAAAAAAAAAGCAAAATAAAATCTAACAAAAAGTACAAAAAAGAAAAAGAAAAGACTGGCTTAACGGTGCGTTTGGATTTAGAGAGAATAACTAAAGAGAAGAAGAGCGGTCAAGAATTCCCAACCCCAGCAATAGAAACCAGAGAGGAAGAATCGGTGGACGAGGTTGTCACGGCGTTTGCTTGAATCAGTTTCCATTAAGTTAAATGAACCAACTCACTGGTTTTTGGAATCTGAAGAATGCCATAACTTTCTTAGGAGAGTTCTTCAAGATGAAAACCGAGGAGATTTAATTTTATTTTTACCCTTTTTGGGAATTCTTATATAAGGGAGGAGGAGGAGGAAGACGAAAGCCGAAAGAAAAAACAAAAACAAAAACAAAAATATTGTTGGGTTCTAGAAAATTTGAGAAGCAGACGCCTTCCATTAAAGAAAAACATAGAGGACCCCACTAGAGTTGGTTTCCAAATAAACGGGTAAACTATACAGTTAGTCATCCAATTTAGTCATTAACGTTAGACACTGTTTGTATTTTAGTCACTAACATTAGATTTTGTTTTTATTTAGTCATTCACGATGATTTTTTTTTTCATTTTTGTCATTGTGGCCAATATCAATAGTTAGTAGTGTGAAGTTGCTTAATATTGCTATTTTCGAAAATAGTAATTTCGGATAGTGACGCTACCGTTACATAGTGACTACTATTATGGTAATGAACCACTATTAATATCTCTAGTGTTATTTTCTTGTTGACATGAAGATTATCTTGAACAATTCTGGTTTCCTCTAAAGAAAGAAAGATCTTTTGTTCGCTTCATTGATTTAGATTCGAGCTCTGTCAGAAATGTTCCTTCAAAATTTCACTATCTTTTGTTGATGATTTTATGAAAACTAAGAGCATATTTTTTGTGAATGAAAATGCCTCTTTCGACCTTGGAGCTCTCCCAATGAAAGCATCAAACGATGTTTTTGAGAAGGTCTCTATTTTGTGATCATTTAGATGATTAAACAAATCGGCGTATTAGAGGTGGTGTGTTAAGTCAGATAGTGTGACGAGATTTAACAGTTGGAATTGAAATGAATTTTTTTTCTAACGACAACATCTAAATTGGTAACACTTTAAAAATTGAGTGATTTTTAAGTGATTAAAATGATAAAACTCTAAAAGTTCCATGACCATAGCGTAGTTTGACCTAAAAGTAACATGTATTATATAATTTAACGTAACTTACACAAATGGTCCCTCAACTACAAGGTACTACTTTGTTGAGTCTCCAACTGTTAAAAAATACAAAATGGTCCCTCAATTATCAGATGTTGCTTTGTTGAATATGTCGACTATTAAAAGTTACAAAATTATCACATGACTATTCATATGTTTCAAACTCGCCATTTTCCGTTAAAAAATTGATGGTCGTATCAGTTGGACGTTAACAAACTGATTGAGATATGATAAAATTTGACCATAGAATCTCAAATAACTAAACAATTCAAACGGTTATGGGATCAATTTTTATCGTATCATAGTCAACAGGTTAACGTCTATCTCAGACGACTGTCAATTTTTAACGAAAAAGAGCAAGTTTTGAATATATGAATAATCGAGCGATCATTTTATAACTTTTAATAGTCGATGCTCAACAAACTAACATCCTATAATTGAAATATTGTTTTATAATTTTAATAATTTAAAGACTCAATGAAACAATATCGATAGACCATTCATATACTTATCCTATAATTTAAAGTGGATTTTTACATATTAAACTTGTTTGCGGAGAAAATAATAACCGAGACTGCGTAATAGCTAAGGAAATCTCCAAATAATTTCGGAATTTAATCACCGATGGTATTGACTTTCTCATCCACTTATATATATATACGTGCAAGTCGAATTTGAAACAAATATATTAATATAAAATATGTATCCCTCTCTCGAAAAATGCCACATCGAAGAGACAAGAAGGTCTTCTTTAATTTCCTGAGCTGCTATTTATGATTAGTTCAAACTTCAACTTTTTCTAATTTTATTAAAGATGTGAAATCTTTTCCATAAAAGATAATTATTTTAATGGTTATATTGGTTTCTTTTTCTTTTTCTATTTTATTAAATAAATATTAATTTATAGTAAAGTCATTGTGGAGTGCATTTCAGCGTATAGAATATATTACTAATTTTTAAAATATATTTTCTGCCACCAACAACCACTGATTTAAGCAACCATTCATTCAGTACCAATAAACTTGTATCATTGTCAAAGCATAAAAAATTTGACAGTCCAAATTTTCCATAAAGGTTTCACACACGAAACATTTTAACTCATGATTTTAAGTTAATAATGTAAATATGCTAACACGTGTTTGAGTCTTACCAGTAACCCTATTTGACATCTAAAAGAAGTTGTTACATAAATATATTTAAAAGTCTATCAATCATCGACAAATTTGAAAAACGATTAATTACAAAATTAACAAATAAGCCTATTCAATTAATCAAAATTTCTAAGTTTAGTGGATTAAATTGAAATATAGAAAGGCATTTGTTTAAAGTCTAAATGTAGACCAATGTCAAACATGTAGAATTTATGTTGGGCTCATTCTTTACTGTTACTTTGTCTTCTTCCACCAAGTTGAAGCCAGCCTCATCTTACTTTTATAACTAGTAGTTTCTACTAAATAGTTTTTTAATATCTCCTGACTATATAATTATTTATTATTAATGATTCTTTTCTTTGTGTTTTTTTTTCATCGTGTGGTCTCTGAGAGTAACTTATAGGAAAGTAAATATATAAATACACATTTACGCGTCTACAGACCAGTGTTGGTTAATAAAATATTATCATAAAAAGATAGTTATTATAGGTTTTTTTTTGGTCTGGCAGTTATTATAATATCCAAAGACAGAAATTTGATTTCAAGCATAAATCTGTAGGAACTTTGTGATATATCAGCATGAGAATCACATGCATGCATGGCGGCCTGCTTTTTATCCATTTGAAATTGATCTTTGTTGACGGGATGTTCCCAAGTTGGTTTTAGTTTCATGATTTTACTTGTCGACCTTTAAGAGAGTTTTTAGAATGTATTAAAGACGATTCACATAATTTAAAAGATAATGTAAAAAATAATATAATTTCATTAAAAAAATTAAATATATCGTTGATTGTTGATTCAATAGTATCCACTTGTCCCTAAAAGTGTCCTGCCTGCGTTGTGATAGGGTTTCCAAACTCCAAATAATGTGAATAATTTAAAAAAAATAAAAAAAAATAAAATCTCAAAATTAAAATGACATAAACCATCTAGAAAGAAGACGATTATGTCAGTCAGAGTAATGAATTGGTCTTAATCAGTAGTCAATTAAAAATAGGTTTTTCATGTTTTGTTTTCTCTAGAAGGATTTACGTACGAAACAACAAACAATTCGCTGGTCAAACATTCATTTCAGTTTATTCATCTGCAGGCATATATAATATTCGAATTTCAATGTTGGTGGTTATTTTATCTATTCGCATATTATTTTAGATTACGGATTTTTCATGGCATATAGTTTTAATATCGAAAAAACAAACATTTTAATCATGGATGGTGTTTATATTATAATAATTTTTATGCAAAAACTAAATTTCAAAATTAAGGTTGAATATTTACAATAAATGACTAAAACCAAGAAAACTGTAAAATATCGACTGCAATTCGTACCCTTGATATTATTATTTCAGTACAAACTCCTTTATGACAAGTTACTTGATCATGAACTCTTTCTTAAACATTAGGAATCAGAAGGGAAAAAAAACATCCAAGATCAGACATCGTCAACTGATCAGAAAACAACCGTTGCCCCCTAAAAACAACGCCTCTAAACACACCATTTCACAGATTGGAGAGACAGCAACCCACAAGGCTCCTTAGATGGAGGGATGTGGGTGCAGACAGAGACCTATAAAAAATTAAAATTATCATATTTTTTTTTTGTTTATCTTCTATTGAAAATTTGTTTTCGCCCCTAACATTTTATAAAATTGTTTATTTTTAAAATTTTAGAGATTCATTTCTGTAATATAAAATCTTGCATCTTGTCCCTGATGTTAGGACATACTGTTGATGACTTGATGTCTCGTCTACACAAGACCAAGCTGCCGCCCCAAAGCCTCAGTAGCCATTGCTCAACTAAGCCCCCAACCAAACTCACTACCAACATAACCAGCCAATACTACTTGTAATAATCTAAAACTTTGAGGCAACATTTGAGAGTTGACCTGAAACATCTATTAATAAATACGAGTTTAGGATTAGAACCATTAGGCTAAGTATGGACATCATTGAGAGCTATGTAGACTTAAGACGCATTAATAAGAGATGGCTTTGAATTTTGATCAAATAAGAGAGAGACAAAAAGATAAATATCTATGGTTGAAAATGAGGTTGGTTTTCCCTTGATTTTGCCAATGTCCAGACCTGTCCAATGACAAGTGTATAATATAATCTCTCACAGGATCTAAAAATTTAGGAGTTTCACATATGAATGTCATTTAGGCCCTTTCATGTATAATATTGTGCCCTAATGATCTTTACCTTCGAAGGAAAAATAAACTTTTCGTTTGATTCTCGAGAAAATTATAAACGAAGATTTTAACAATATATTTAATTGTTTTCCATGGTAAATTTTGGTAAAAGAAATCTCATTGATCCCTCAAATTTAAAATTGATAAATTATTTTTTATTAATAGAATATTTTAGGGGTTTCATTTTTACATAGCACAGACCTCCACATCATTTAGGAAGGGTCTGCCTATATTATACCTGGAGAGGAGATTCCTCTAGTGCTCGAGGTAAATGAAAAACCGGTGAAAGTTCGGTGGAAGTTAAATGAGAAGTTTTCATTGATCTTTTGAGTTAAGGTAGAATATTTTGAACTTTGAAATATACTTTGTGATACCCCCAACTTCTACGATCCAAATTTTAAGGCCCGATATCTTTTAACCATTGAGATTAAATCTCTAATAGTATATATAATTTGATTCGAAATCTTACTTTCTTTCATCTCTATTATAGATGATCCTATCATTCAATATATCTAGATATCGTTAAAGCCCTGAACTAATTAAACAATGTCTAATGTTATGAAGTTAGAAAGCATTGGTTGAAGTTAATCTCACCGAAACCTAGTATTTTCCTCTTAGAATGCTTGGCGAAGTTAATGAGTGGGAAATAATGGTGAAGCAGGTGTTATAAACTCATTGGAACAAGATCCATCATCATGTTCCTTAGATGGTCCCATGTTTGTGTCTCAAACTTTATGGTCATCCAATGTGGCGATAAGTTGAATAGTGTGAACCACTAAGTGGTTGTTTATATGTTGGAAGATGAGCACTAATATATATCGTGTCTTTTTTTTTAGTCATGAATTGCACCTTTGTGCCTTACATCGACATGTTCCGGATGTCAACCTTGTCTTAGTGGGTTCTTCTTTTCTCTCGATTTTGGAATTTTGGCATACGTGGGGGGATATGTGAAGGGAATAATGCAAGCAACATCATATATAGAAACACTTTTAATGAGTAATTAGAGACTATCGTAAAGTTGGGGGGGGAATTCATAACGCAAAAGTGTTCTTTCGGTGATGGTTCAGAAGTGGAGATGCTAAGACACAAATCAGAACTTATGTTTCTTTTGGGCCCGAAAAACGTTCACCCATTAATGCATTGTTTTTCATACCGTCTAAAATTTGAAAGGTACAAATTCTTTAAGTAAAGAACATGTTATGAATGGGGAGTAATTGAGTATTTTACCCAAAACTGATTAAGCTAAGTCCAGAAGTCTTTGACAAAGTTACAAATTCTTCCATTTACTGCTATTGTTCAACTTATGTCAGTTTTTTTTGGACTTAGCTTAATTAGTCTATATATATATATATATATATAGAACATGCAAATTGGAAAACAATGTCTAAAGAAAAGGTAAAAAGAAGTGTTAATTCCGTGTCTGGCATTGAGGAATAATCATAAGAACCTTTACTCGAAATTGCCTTTCTTTTCAAGCAACAAAGATGATTGATTTGTCTGCCCACGAATCAAAGCAAGCTGTATTCCGTCAATAGCAAGGATTTTCTTATAATTATTATCATACAGCAAGATTTATATATATATATATATGTTTCAAATTTATTAAAAATGTTATTGAATATGAGTATAAATCCAACTCCGATATGTTTAAATCTCTGAAGGAAGAAAATGAATCAGGGCATAACCACGTAGAAGTAAATATATGTACAAATACAAGCTGCAGATATGTTTAAAGGGCAGAGGTCGGACAAATTATGTAACCTTAAGGAATATAAAATTGGATAAACTAAAAGATAGTAGCACAGAGATTAAAAGAAAAGTCAATCCAGAAGATATTTTAGTTCATTTCATGTGTAGATTTTTTTTTCTTCGTTTTCTGGAAATTTCTAACCCAAGTTACCAAACAAACCATGGTCCATCATTGATGTTTGTTTGTTTTTTCTACATTGATAAACAACTCTGTTTTCTTCGGTTCGATTTCTTGTGATTTGATCTTGAAAACCCTGGCGATCATACACAGCCATCAAATCGTCATGAGCTTTGCCTAACCGAACAAGCAACCACCTGCGCCCACTGCCGCAGCCTTGTCTTCACCGTCTGTGGATTATCACCTTCAATCGCCAAAAAAGAATCAGAAGAAATACAAGTTCCCAACAAAGCTGAAGATCATAGGAGTTAAATTAATGACTCACCAGGGCCAACAATGGCGTGGGGGCTTCCAACAGGGGAAGGAATACTCTCACAATCCGATACAACCGAAGGAGACGACGTCGTGCAAGGCTTGGAGATCATGGTGTCGTTGTACTTCTTATTAACAGCATAATAAAGACCTAAAGCAGGCAAAGTATCGGACAAACGTTGATCCACCTCAGGCGAATCGAACCCGAACCCCAACTCGATACAAGCCTTGAGTTCGTCGAGGTCTTCGTCCGTCACGCTCTTGCTCTTTCCTTTCTTTCTGTTCCCTTTCCTCCTGAGCCATGCTTCTTCGCGGAACATGTCCGGCGACCACGACGGGTGCTTGTAAAGCGAAACCGAAAGTGGCATCATCGTCGGCACCGTAAGCGGAGGTTGCGGTGAATCATCAGTTGATGTTAGCTTTTGTTCGGGCGGTGGTGGTTGCGGTGGGAACATAGACAGCGATAGTAGCCCCCCAGAGAGTTAATATGTTGTGGGAAAGTGGGTTATGGGAGAAGGGTTAATAAGGTGGTGGGGGTTGCAATTGATTGATCCGAGTCAGGATGGCTTGTCTTTTTCTCTTATTTATTTGGTCTTGAAAGTTGAGTGTTCCTTACATGATTTTTGTATTTTGTGTTCCTTACATGATTTTGTATTTTGTATTCCATACCTAGTATCTATTTTATTATGATTATAATTATTATTATTTTTGATGTAATAAATGTCTTAGTGATATAATCGATTATTTTTTATTTAAATGAATAAATCCATAAAAGAACAATTGTTAATCAATATTAATATCTTTTGTTTTCATAAGTAGAAGAGAAAATAATAATAATAAAAGTCTAAATATCTTTCTCGATCGTAATCAATAGGATTTATAATAATTCTTAATGTTAATGTCATACAGAAGATCATAATGGTTATCTATAGATTAATATGCTATAAATACGATCAACTTACAATAAATTTAACTATTATATATGGGTCTCATAAATCTTTCGAAGATCGTATAAAAAATTTGTTGTTTCTCAATGTGTTAGACTCTTAAGAGTTTCATGTTGAGAGATAATCTTCATGGACTCTATAGAGGTTTTGAGTGCGAAAAAGTACAATGAATTTTTTTTAAAATAAAAAAGGATATACCATTAATAACCATCACAACCTAAATATTTCAATCAATAATTGATGCGGTACGCTTGAAACTCTATAGACATTTCTAGCACTAGAATTGAATGCTCTATATCTCACGTTATATTGTCATGATGTTAGAACGTTTTGTTGTATTGTCATAGTGAGAATCCTTTTCTGTATTGAAAATGTCGAGTTGTCTCCACTCTCCACTATATCTTGAAGGAAAAATTTTTGTTATATCAATCAGTTTGATGATTTAAGATATTTTCGTTGTCCACCGATAACGAGATATCTCTACTTCAAATACCTTCGAGATGCCTTCACTTAAGGTAGAGATGTCTCCACCCAAACTTATGACTTAAAGGATTTATTTATGGGGTTGGAGAACCTCCGCTCTAGCAATAGAAGTTTCTCTATTGTATTTAACGAGCGTCAAGATATTTTTATCTTAAGAAGAAGAAGATCATTACTTCTATCAAAGCAAAGATATCCTAGTCATACCTACAAAATTTTATTTGAAGTGTGAGAAAATCTATAATACATAGAATGTGTTATTGCGTGCTAAATTATCTAATCTAATTGGCTGATAAAACATACAATTTATATAATATAAAAACTAATGTTATATTTCAATAATTATAACTCTTTTAACTTTATACTATAGTTCCAATCGCCACTTTGATCAAAGTTTAATAATTCATGTATTTGCATTCAAAACAAGTATACACTTATACAAATCTAACTATTATTTTAATAATATGATAAAGAGATGTTACCATAAAATTAAACAAATTATAGATAAATTGATAAATGATGATAGGTATGAAAGTTTGATTTATGGGTACATTGGAATATAATCCAATTCCTTAGAATATGCCATAGATTTTTTTTTCTTCGTCTACTTTCCATCCAATTATAAAACAAAGATTATAGTAGAATACAACTTAAAATAATTTAGATAGATGACTTGAACAAGTTGACCACCGCATCTTTATCGTCAAATATTAATTATAATTTTAATAAGAAAGACATAAATTAATTAATTTAAATCCTTATTTGTAACCAATTTTGAACCACATGCACTGAATATAATATGGCTTAATTGAGTAGATCAATCACTAATGCATGTACTGAATATTAAAATTGAGAAGAAAAAAAAAAGAAGTAATGCTTAAAGTCTCACCCAAAATTAAGGCTTTGATGAATCACATCAAATTATTTTAATGATCTTCGAGAAAAATGAAGAAATAAAGGGTCTCATTTTTTTAATTTGTTTATTCGTTGGATAAAACTTTTATCACATGTACGAATTAAATGGCATCGGTAGTTAAAAGAAATAATTATTATTTATAGAGGCCGTAGGTACGAGCACCAACGATTACATGATATTTAAAAATTTATTATCAAATAATTAAGAGTCTTTAGAACATATACGACCACTTATAATCACCGTATATTGATAAAAAATAATTTTACCATACTTCACTTATTTTAGTATTGAATTTTCTTTTCGCAAATCATAACTATATTTAAAATATACCGATGTAAATTCTAATACATAAGTTATACACATGTTGTTAAAATTTTAAGTAAATTATATATTTAATCACTGAATTATACAATTAATTTTTTTAACTATTATATCAAAAATTTAATTAAGTTGTTAATGTTTTAGTTTAGTATCTATCAAATCATCATATCAGTAATGGGTTAATAAAATGATTGATTTGAAAGTGTTTTAATTTTTATATTAACATATTCTATTTTTATTATTTATATCATCTGTCAATTTGATCTTAATTTTAAATAGATTAATAAATTTAATCTTCTAAATTTATAAGGGTGATTAATTTGATCCTAGAAATTCTTTCAACAAGTTATTTGTCTATTTTTGGGTAGAAAGTAGCCTAATTGAACAAAGTTAAGTTGTGGAGATAGGGAAACGCTCACGTGCGGCGCTTAGTATATGGCTAAAATAAGGTGATATCGGATTTGTTATTATTTTAAATAATAAAACCAATAAAAAATGACCGAAAACATCAATATTTTAACCGGTTATAAATACCTAAAACATCATTTTTTGATCGGATTTTTTTACCGCATTTACCTATATAGGTAATTAGAACCGGTTAAAATAATGATGTTTTCGGTCATTTTTTACCGATTTTGTTATTTAAAATAATAAAAAAACCGATAACACCTTATTTTAGTCGTATAGTAAGGCCTTGCACCGCAGAACTGCCCTGGACGGCATAGGGATGCCCTAAGATATCTTGCATAAAGAGGTGGTTGACTGGAGCCGTGGTGGAGTCGAGCAACATCAGTTGGGCAGGGTTGTTGTCATCGATCTTTGCTAGGAAATCTGTTACCATATTTGGTTCGCGACGAATGAGTTTAAAGTCCACAGTAGTTGATAACATTGCAGATGCGTTAAATTAGTGACTCAAACATTGAAAATGGACTATCATGTCAGTATTGTAATAGTCAAATGACGAAAAACATTGGTCAAAGGATTACATTGAGTTTGTTTCTGAGTTGAAGGGTCACATTGAGAGAAAAAAATAATTCAAGAGTCACATTGATTTCCCCCCCCCCCAAAAAAAACTATAGGGATCTCTAATGCCTTTTTGTTAAAAAAAAATTCATTTATTGTACTACATTAATATATGTTTATTAATTTATGTCATTGTCAGTAGGGTTGTAAATAAGACGAGATAGATTGTGAGCTACTCGAGATCAACTCAGTCAAAGCTCGGTCAACAATCGAATCAAATGAACTCGACTCGAGCTCAATCTCAACTCGAATTTTTAACGAGTCAAAACGAACTACTCTATATTTGACTAGAAAAATTTATGAACTACTCGAAAAAAAAAGAATATATTAAAAAGTTACACATTGCCATTACCCTAATTTTTTTTTTAAATTAACGAGCGCAAGTCCAATTATAACATTTTATCTTATTAATAGAAAAATAAAGTCCCATTAAATTAGGCACATGTTTGATAAACACATATTTGATCTTTTTCTTTCCTTTTTTAATTTTTTTCTGGATCTTTATGATTCAAAAATACAGTAGTTAGTACATTACGAATTAGGAACTTCAAACTCTAACACTATGAACTTTTTCTTTCAAACTTTCATCGGTAAAAGCATTTGTCATCAATAGTTGGTGGCCGTTGCCTTCATTCATCAATCGTCATTAATCACTGTCTTTATACATCGGTTAGCTTTCTCTTTTTTCTTTTAATTTTTAGGGTTCTAAACTCCTTCTCTCAAAGTTTTTTTTCCTAAACTCTTCATGGTAAGTCAGAGTATCGAACACTGTTCATCATCGTATTCACTCGTCGGTCTCTACGATCATTCGTCTCTAATGACCACATTCATGCATCAGTAAGTTTTCCTTTTACATTGTTTCAAATTTTCCCCTTTTTTAAAATCTCCAATTTTCATTTCCACAAAATGTAACTTATTTTTTTACGATCCATTTTTTACAGTGATCAAATGTTATTACAATATGTATATGTATACGTATACATATATGTATACGCATATGTGCTCTCTAGTGGATATAGTCTTACTCTATACCAATTTAGTTTTCTAATGAAAATTTTTAAAGAAGTAATGAAGAACATAGTTTCTTAGATCAAGAAAAAAAGTGTTTTTTAGTATAAAGGTTGAGGCTTAGGACAATTAAATGGGAATAAAGTAAACGAGTCAAGTTCAGCCTATCTACTGCAACCCTTTAAATACCAACTTCAAAATTTATGAATCATTATAATAATAATAATTAGCATAATTTCACCCATTAAGGTTAGTTTTTTTTCTTCTATGCTTTTAATGAGTTTTACTTGTTTTTTCTTCTAGAATTTTACCCGAAAAAAATCAATTTACTGAAGTGATTTACACAAAAAAATTTATTTACCGAAAACAAATGTGAATCGTTTCTTTTTTATTCATTTTTTGTGGTTATTTCATCAATTTTTTTTTCATGTAATTTGAACTTTTAGTCTCTATAAATGCATTTTTTTATCTTTGTAGTCAATTTTCTTCTTTTAGTTAAATAATTTCCGCCCTTAACTTGTTTTTTGTTGTTAAATTCAACTCTTGTTATTTATGTTTCTTAAATATTCCTATTTGTTTATACTTTTTTTATATGTATTTCTTTCTTCAATATTTATGTAAACTAAATTTATTTTCAATAAACTTGTGTATAGTGAATTTTATGCAACGACTAATGATGAATTAGTGAAATTTTATTTTATTATTATATTTTTAGTTGTAGATTCTTAAATATATTTTAGTTAAGAAAATATAGAAAAACATGAAAGTAAAAAAAATGTTGTGTTGATATTTTATACAATGTTA